AGCATGATAGTGCTTTATGGCTTTAAGAAGCGAGTTCAATGTATGCACAATAGCCAAAAGTGCAATGGGGATTCCAGTGTAAGTGCAGTTGAGCTTTTGTTGAAACTCTCAGTGTCCTACTAACAGCTGCTTATGCCTTCTCTAAAAAGTCTAGAAGTTAAGTCTCCTATAAAGAAAAATTGTTCATTTAAGCAACTCTCTGTTGGAGACCTGTTGTAAGGACTACTCCAATGCTGACAAAGCCCAAGTATGAAGGCTACACGTCACTTCTAGTCTGCAGATAGCTAACATTAGGATGGAGAGGGATATATCCCTATGGGCAGTAGCATTTGTTTAAGGGCTTAGAAGCAAACTTTGCATCATATTTTGCTTCCTTAATGTACTGCCAAAGAAGGGAAAGGTCTTTAGATGAGTTTATCATCTGCTTTTATGCCTGTAGAAAGAGATATGCATTCTGCAAAGCTAAAAACAAATGGGCAAGATAACATATTGTTGAGCTGTATTATAACACTAGGGGTGGCAGCCAGCCAGTAAAAAGAGGAAAGAGAACATAAGTTAATGCTGATGTTTTCTGGAATAGCTTCTTGTGCTTTTCAGTGAGTTGATGTAGGGAGAAGGGCTGAGCCTCATGGCTAAAGAAGATAACTGGGACTCAGGAGATGTGCTTCACTCGGCCATAAACTTGCAGCATAACCTTGGACAATTCACTTAAAACACTGCCTCAGGGCTTTCTCTATGCCCTGTACTTCCCTGTCTCACCGGGCATAGTGTGTAGTGAAATTAAATTCATTAATTGCTGTAAGATGCTTAGGGTTTCTAAGAGGAATGCTACAAATAAGTGCAAAGTACTACAGTCATTCGGCATCTACACATATATAGTCCCGCTAGGGATTAGTCTGGCAATGTGTGCTTTTCATTTCTGTCAGTGAAGCCGAGATCCAAATGCAAAATGTAGTGCTCTGTAACTTGTGTGATATTTGTGGCACTCCCTGAAGGAAAGTTAGTCCATAAACCGATGAATGGATCCCACTGAGTCATAACCTGTAGTGCTGTCATCAGCGACTAACGTAACCTTGTTCCAGTATATTTACCTCTGAAAAGAGACCTGTACCCACTTCCTTTATGTCAGCAACCTGATATTTCTAGAGGGGCAACAAAATGGCTCTAGGTGGAAATAAATTAAGAAATAACAGCTAATGTATTTTAAAGTTTCAGACCTATGGGACGAGTAAAGTACATATAGTATCTTTTGTTTTACCCTGCTGATCACAGGACAAATGTACTGAAATGGAAGCTATTTGTCTCAGAAATTCTCATACTTCATACGATAGCAACCGAACCTCTGTTAACAACTGACACGCACAAAAAAAAGCTGACACAAATACGACTTAATGAGGAGAGGCCAAGGGAACTGGGCTTATTTAGTCTAGAGAAGAGAAGACAGAGAGGATTTAATAGCAGCCTTCAACTACCTGAAGGGGGGTTCAAAAGAGGATGGAGCTAGACCGTTCTCAACTGTGGCAGATGACAAAACTAGGAGCAACAGTCTCAAGTTGCAGCAAGGGAAGTTTAGGTTAGATATTAGGAAGAATTTCCTCACTAGGAGGGTAGTAGAACACTGGAACAGGTTACCCAGAGAGGTTGTGAACTCTCCATCCTTGGAGATTTTTAAGACTCAGCTAGACAAAGCCTTGGCTGGGATGATCTAATTGTGGATGGTCCCGCTTTGAGCAGGGGGTTGGACTAGACGACCTCCTGAGGTCCCTTTCAACCGTCATCTTCTATGATTTTATGATTCTAAATGGCAGAGGGACTAAAAGAAATATGCCATGCCTTCGCCATGCCAGTTACCCATGCTTGTCCTGAACTCGTTTTAGTGGGGTCATCCTGAAGTGTAGTTGTGGTTTAATAATCCTTTTTCACTTTGTGGCACCTTCTGTTAGAGGATCTCATAGCCTGAAAGCAAGGACAAGAGCCTGATGCCAAAGGCAAAGTGAAAGGACTAGAATTAGGGAGATTATACGGCTTGAACGGTACAAGAAGACGACCGTTTTTGCAGCAGAAGGTTGGCTAGTGATGCAGTAGCCTCGGAAAGGAAGGAGCACATAATGCGTATTCTCTCCAATAAAGCCCTTCTCTCCGTGTTCAAACAGTGCAGGCAATAACAGGGTCAAGTCTAAGGCCAGCCCTCCACCAGGTGTTCATTTTCAAAACTGGAGGGAGGGATGATGTGGGGGAGTTTGTCTCAACTATTATTCTTGCTCAACTTGGTCCCTCCCTAGTCGGGTCACTTGTTACAATGCCAGCTTACTCCGCAACTGCTGGTATTGGAAGTAGCCTTTCAGTATTACAGCTCTTTCGCCTCAGTGTTACAGCACTCCCTAAACACCATCTTGCCTTTGTTCTTAATCTCTCCCCTTTTGCTAAGATATTGTGGCCCCAGAAGAGAGATTTCCAGATATTTCAGATGGAAAAACATTCAGAACGAATGTAACAATACATATATTGACTTCGGGATTTTGTTAGCTAAAAAGATTTACTATTTTTCAAAGTCCACATTGACTTCAGTCAGTATATACCTCTCAGGACTAATAAAATTGGTATTTACCCCAGAGTGCAATATGTACTTATCATTTAACCTTGCAGTTGTATGACTTTTAAACATAGAGTCCGGGATTCAGTTTATCTGAAAGACACGAAAGAGGACTGCATTCGGAATCAAGTGAATTACATTTTAGATCCATGCTAACGTGGCAAACAAAAAGGAAGAAAAATGATAGTCTCAAGGGCTGATTTAATTTCATTACTGAAGTCAGAAAAATTGTATTTTTATTAGAAAAGTGAAAATTATAGTGACAGAAAAAAGGATAGTGAATAGTTGGCTGAACTGGGCTGGAATGTCATTGCAGTGCTACGTACAAGGATTTGAATTAACATCACAGATGGGGGAGAGCTACAACTAAGAAGAGTTCTGCATGCTTTAATTTTCTGCATTTAGTTGCATCATCTGGTGTTTCAGCAAATGCTCTTAAACTCATCAAGTGGCTGATGGATGTGTTTGTAAAGGCTTGGATGGTCACTTTATATGGAACAATAAACCCACTATTGTACATAATGAGGTCAGTGAAGCAACCAGAAAAGAAATATATAATTCCATAACATGGGTCTATAAGCACAGTACTGTCTAGGCTATTTCAGTTTAATGAAGCAGCTGTTCTGCTGCTGCATATTCTTTCTGAATAGTCTCAGCATGTATTTTAAAACTAAAATGATGCTGGTAATCGTGTCCCCCACATTCTCTTTGGAGAGTCCATTGGTCCTATTCCCATAAGAAATCTGCTTCTTTTACGTGTTAATGGTTTTGAAATTAGTCATTGGCTTCATTTTCATTGTAAATGAGGGTCAGAGTGCAATTTCTTTCCTTCCCTGTTCTCTGAATGTTGAAACTCCTCAGCAGCAGCCAGGTTGCTTTCTGGCATATACACAGCCTGAAAAGTGGCTGAAATGTTTCCATAAAAGGGGCACAGTCCCAGGCATTTTTCCCATTCTGAGGAGCCTTTCTAAGAATGCTAGCAGTAAAGCTTGTGTTGCAGAAGTGGCATATCATCATCGTTGTCATCATCATCATCACATCCATGCATCTCACAGCCTCACTGCCAAAAGACATCCATTCAGGCGACTTCAGAAAGCAAACGCTGCAATGGCAATACCTATTCAAGCCCAGATTAAATTACTTCATTCCTTTTAAAACCCCTAAGAAAAGCATCTGTTTAAAGAATGAATTAAACGATTAATTTTTCAATACAGCGTTTGATTCTTAGCACTCCATTGGCATTATACAGATAATGATGGTGTTTGAAACATGAATTGGACTTTCTTTCTTTCTTTTTTTTTTTTTTAAATGGTTTAAATGTTGTATTCACATACTTTTATTCTGTCTGGCTTTGGCAGATACAAATAATATTTCATAGCACTTGCATAGTGCTTTACATCTGAGGGCATCGCATGAGTTTAGAATGGAAGTTGGTATTATCCCCATTTTATGGATGGAGAAATCAAGGCCTATTCCACATGGAAGCACCTGGCCCTAAATCTAATCTATTGAATTACCTGCCTGTCCTAAAGTCACATCTATACTTAATGAGCAGCACTATAGGGAGCAAAAAGTTTATTTTCTCATCCTCCCTTATTACTAATCTACCCCTTGGTTTACAATTAGTACTACCCAGGACAGCATATAAAACATACTCCTTTCAGTGCTGGGAAAATGAGGAAGCATACAAGAAAGCCATATGCAAGCTATGATTTTTACCTCACCTTGTGGCATAAATTATTACTGCATGCAGGCTGTTATTAAGCGGGTTCATGTCACACATGCTCGCTATAGGATTGTTTGCTGTTACTGTGTTCTGCGATGTGTTGGTGATGTAATGCACTTAGCAGTAATGGGCTATTTTCACAGAGGGATTTCAACTTCATCGTCTACTTTCTCTTTCGAGAGGTAACTTAGTCTGTGGTCAAATGCAAGCGTCAAGTTAAACGCACACTAAATACAATCTACTCTTTTGCAGCAAGCAGGGAAAAAAGAAAGACAAAAGGTTTCAATGTTTTCATTTATCACCATGACTTTAGAAGTGCAGAGAAAAAAGAAAAACCTCCACTTGCCATCACTCCATAAATATACATACTGCCGTTTTTCAACAATACATAATATTTTAAGCTTCCTTTCAATACTGGGAACATTGTGGGGTTTTTTTTTTCCTTTAAGCCTCTTGTAGCAATCAGTACAACAGAGTTACGTGCTCAGCGACGTGCCTGCTGCTTTATTATTGACTGCCACTGTTGGGTTTTTTCTTTCTGTGTGTGTAAAATTTTTGTAACAAGATGAGGTGCTGCTCTAACTCTCTTACATTTTAACTAATGGGATGTTGGTGGCCTGTAATTTTGCATTTGCCGTTAACGGCTCGGGTTTAATAAATTGTTTTCTGATCTTTTCCTAGATGGAAATCCTGTATGAATGTGGAAGCCATTAGCAGAGTAATTGCTGTCTGTTACCATGACAACCAGCCGCTGCAGTCACCTGCCCGAAGTCTTACCAGACTGCACCAGCTCCGCTGCTCCCATGGTGAAGACTGTGGAGGATTGTAGCAGTCTTGTGAATGGACAGCCGCAGTATGTCATGCAAGTTTCAGCCAAGGACGGGCAGCTGCTGTCAACAGTAGTACGGACGCTTGCCACGCAGAGGTACAGTAGTACCAAATCAAGCAAATGTATGATTGATCATTAAACTATTCTAGCTAGAGAGTGCAGAAGAGAGCTGTAATTACAGCATTCAGGTGTCTGTGCCAGCCAATATGTTTTGTTAAAAAAAAAAAAAAATCAGTCATATCCATTTCTATGAGTGTTAGGTAAAAAAGCTAAAATTCACTGTGTTTAGTTTTCTAAGTCTCACTCGCCAGCAATTAAGAAGATGTGTGGCTGCTTGCTTAAGATTTACTACAATGAGATTATAATTAAATGCTGGTCATAACAACTTTATCATCACTGTGATACCGTCTATAATTAAATCCTTGTCATTCTATCTTCATGACAAAGAGTGGTAGTTCTTTCTCAAGATGTAGATGGTCAAGTGAGTAAGCTGCAATCGTTTCTCCCGATTTGTAGAAGGAAACTTCAGGGGTAACATTCTGATGACTTGTGCATGCTACTCATTACTTACTGATGATAACACTCATTCCAGTGATGCTTCATACGTGTGTTTCATCTCGAATACACTGTCGCTCTGGGTACAGGGTACTGTAAATAATGTGCCTTTCCTTCCCTCCCTCATGTGCTGGTTCTAACACTTTCAGAGCACATTTTGTGGAGATTTGCCATCCAGCATGCTCTAACTCACTGAGAATCTGTCTCAGTGATTCACATGCAGGCTTTATTGCTGGAGCTGCTTCTCAAGTGATAACAGTCTGCATCAACAGCACAAAAAGCTGACAAATTATGTGGTGAAATGTTGATAAATTGAAACACTAGGTTAGTTTGATAGGTTATTCTTTGATTGCTTGGCTTTTCTGTTGTTTGGGGGTAGGTTTAAAACTAGCTTCGCTTAGGGATTTTTCCTGCAGCACATCCCCAAAGCATTTCTGGGCACTTATTCCTCTATATCATGAGTAAATGGTAAATAAGTGGGTGCAATAGCTTGTTGTCTACCTCCTTTTCTCTTCTCCAACTCTCAAAAACTTTTGCCTCCCAAACTGACACTGCATAAACCAGAGGAAGAAACACTTGAACAAGAAAAATATCAGTGACTTCAACCGTATATCTACTAAGTACACACATGGGGAACCTTCCGTGTTGTTACGTTGGAACATAGAAGGAGAGAAAGAAATGCTCTAGAATACTGTGTTTCACCAACCGATAATACTGATCAGCTACTTCCCTTTCTTGTCTAGCAGCCCCTTCAATGACAGACCAATGTGCAGGATCTGCCACGAAGGCAGCAGTCAGGAAGACCTGCTCTCTCCATGTGAATGTACAGGAACCCTGGGGACTATTCATCGCAGCTGCCTGGAGCACTGGCTGTCATCTTCAAATACCAGCTACTGTGAACTCTGCCACTTCAGGTTTGCAGTAGAGCGCAAGCCCAGGCCATTGGTAGAGGTCAGTAAATGGGGCATGTCCTCAAAAGCTTAGCTTTAATGAACAAATGGTGTATGTTTTTACACAAGGATCACAGAGACTTTGCTGCTTCACTGAAGCAAAAGAAAAGCTGTGCATTTGGGGCACTGAGCGGTGGGGGCAAGAGCACAGAGAGAAGGCTGGAATAACAAAAGCTTCATTCCTAAGGCAAGCAACATAAGTCAGAATAATACAAGTGATGTTTTTGCTGCCCTATATGCATCTAAACCAGTTGGGTCTCAACCCTTTTAGATTTGAGCCCCCCCCCGTTAGATTCAAGGCACCCTTGGAAAAAAAATGTTACCTCTTAGTTTTCACTCAATTTTTTTTTGACTATGGAAAAATAATAAGAGCAGTTTTTTCTGCTGCAGAGAACTCAGAAAGAACACAACAGGTCAGAATGTATTTAACACTTTGTATTCCTACTTGAATTCTCTGGGGTTATTTTGCAAATCATGTTTGCACACTTAACAGTGCTAACATGGTGTAGCACTCTAGGGCACCCTTATAAGGATCTTGAGGTACCCTGGTTGAGAATCACCAGTCTAAATGAACAGTGTCTTTGCCAACAGTTTGCAGAGAATGCATAGTAAAAATGCAATAATGCCCTTTGGCTTGCTAGAGAGATAGAGATGGAACAGAAAGCAATGCTTAATCTATGGAACACTAGACAAATATTAGTGTTTGCAGTAGTAAATAAAGGTCAGGCGTTAAAAATAAACAGCTCACATGCCTGGGTCTGTATCCCACTCAGAGAAAAGTTTTTCTTGCTCCACATAGTGCGTTTTAGCAGTGCCGAAGTAAACCTTCTTGCTTAAATACCAAACTAGAGTAACACGGGACAACTGTTTTCCCCTTGTCAGTTAAAGTTTGGCTATTGTCTGCTGCAGCTGCTTTAATTAATGCATGAAAGCACCAGTTTTGATGCTATAAAAAGCAGACTAGAGATTGGGTTCATTTGGTTGATAACCTTTTTTTCCTCCTTTCTTTTTATTGCAAAAACATTGTGAAATCTGAAGTGCCTTTTGAAATTAAAATTTAATTGACAATAGTGAAGTTCCATTAAAAAATAGAAAAATCTTCTACAGTGTTGCTTGGTGACATGGGGTCTTGATGATTATCTTTTATCTAAATTGTGTATATGCTTCATACATGTCTTATTTGGGATTGATCTTAAGATGGACTAACTGGTGACATGAAAATAAGATTTGTTTTCTTCAGTTGATCTCATTCATTAGCAGCACGAGGTAGCTTTTGCATCTACTAATCCGATCCTTGTATCTGCTGGGAAAAGTGCATAGGCTCTGTTGGGTAAAGGATGGGAAATATTCTTCAGAGGTCTACCAGTGATATTTTGTGCTGGATCAATTTTAAACATAAGAACACAGCAGCCTCTTTATTTTTACTGG